GAGAGTCTGCAGGAAAATTAAACGTTAATCTGAATTCTAGAAGCTGACTTATTTTGCATACACGAAAATGTTGAGTTTCTGACAATAATGCTGTCCTTTTTTCTTGCAGTCCCTAACAATCAGTAAATCAAAAAATGTACTGATCAGTGGCCTGAAATCATTAAACAGCAAGCTCATGCATGTATCGATCCAATTCAGCGAAGATGTAACTGTTCGAAATAGTTTCATGATCGCTCCCATATACAGTCTGAACACTGATGGAGTTCATATCCAACAGTCTACTGGCGTAAACGTCTTAATGTCTGTCATAAAGACAGGAGATGATTGCATATCGATGAAACCTGGAACTAGCAATGTCTATATCAATCACATTTATTGTGGACCTGGACACGGCATTAGGTGAGATTTTCATACGAAATAGAGTTGCGACAGCAGTAAATGCTACAGTCAAATTTCTATTTCCAATATTTGGTTAACAATAAGCTAGTTGGTAATGGTAATTGGATTGTAGTTAGTTAAAAAACCAACTGCAGTTAAGTCAAATAAAAAATAAAAAATAAAAAATTAATGACACACATCAAATTAGTGGACTCCAACAGAAAATATAGAGCATTTAACAATTGCAAATAGAAAACACTTGATTTTCCATGAAAGTACATTTCCAGTAAGAAAAGACAAATATAATATCTTTATAACTAACCAAACACTTGATTTGGATTGGAAACACATGCATTTTAAACAATAAAAATGTGTATATCCAAACAACAGAGATTTAAGGTTAATTTCATGAAAAGTTGCATGAAACATTTTCTGCACGTAACATTTCTTGCATTTTACAATCGCAACTTACCAAACATTCTACAACATGAATAATCTGCTCATTACTGTTGCAGCATTGGGAGCTTGGCAGACAGCGTGAATGAGCCTGGAGTGCAGAATATCACCGTGAAATCAGTTGTGTTCGATCATACACAAAACGGGTTCAGGATCAAGACATGGGGGAGACCAAGCAATGGTTTCGTTAAGGATGTCAGTTTTCACAATGCAATCATGAGAAACGTTCATAATCCTATCATCGTCGATCAAAACTACTGCCCAAATGCATATAACTGTCCTGGACATGTAAATGAAATTTTAACTTTACGCTTCATAAACTTGTTTGATTAGATAGTCTAATTCATGATTTTGATGTCTTTTGTGTCGATCAGAGCTCAGGTATAAAGATCAC